AGAGTAATTAGATATTTGGCAAAAGTGTGTGAAAAAATGTATTCTTACGCACAATAGTCAACTGATACCATACATCCTTATAGTGGAAATTAGGAAGATAATCAGAAGAAAATGTTGGCATAAATACATTAATGCAGAAAAATGTATAACATATATTAGTAAGTGTGAAAAAAGTGGACATGTATTTCACAATTGCATTATTTATGCAAAGAAAAAGTCTAGAAGAGTATGTGAAATAGCAGTGATTATTTTAGGTGGTATATTTTAAGTTATTTTTAATCTCATTTCTGCTTGTTTGTATATTCTAATGTTCCTGCAAGGAATATGTATTAATTATGCAATAGAAGAAAATCGTAAAATTATTTGTAAACATATTTAATTACAATTATTATGGGTGTGATTAAAATAGAAATTGAAGTAATTTTTTTTCCTCCCTCTGTTCACACTTTCCCTGGAATCCTAAATTGACAAATTGAATTTCAATATTTTTCTTTTCTGATGGTTGTTTTTATTTAACTATGAGGTGAATGAAGACTTTTTAGAATTAACTAGAAAAGAAACAAGCTTTATGTTAATTTTATGGGGTATTATGTGTATCAAACTTAGTTTATTCACGTACTGGCAGTGTGGCATTGGGCAAGTCACTGGTTCTTCTGATGTCTCATATTCTCGCCTCCTTTGAAAATAGGAAAAAATATATATACAACACACCCACCTTAGGGGCTGTTTGAAGAATTAGGTGAAACCAAATGGCACTGAAAAGGTTTCATAAACCAGTAAAGTGTTAGATGAGAGCAATTATTGCTTTTTTTTTTTTTTTTGCACTTTTCTTATCCATTACATGTTTCTTGTGTTTTCAGAAATGTCGTATGTCTGATATTTTCAAAGTAAAAGCATCTCAAAACCTGGGTGGACAGCTCTTCATCTGCCCAAACAGCACTATTCCAGGCCTTAATACCCTAAGATGGACTTATATATTGAAGAGTTCTCCAGTGTTGTACTTCCCGCTACCCACTGAGTCGGCTTTGAAGCTCAGGGATAGAATGGAGTAAGATAAAATGAAATAAAAGGCTTGCGTGTATTACGATGACTTTCCCTCATATTTCTAAAGATGCTGAATGCTTATGCCGAATTCAGGCAAACACTACCGATTATTTACATGGCATAATGGAAGTAAACACTCGAGACAGAGACTTGATGCTTTTACTCAGCATGATACAAACCATTATCTCATGTTTTCTCTGGAAAACAGTCTCAGCCGAGAAATTTGGTAACTCAGTAGGCTATTAATAGGATGCGGAATGTGATTACTCCTTTTGGATTACTTCAATATGTAATTACTTTTAGGAGCTAGTAGAAAGAAACTCTATTAAATGATAATTATAGGACTGTATTTGCTTTAAGGTTCTATAATAGCTCTAAACATGAGACTTTTCATTAACTGTTTGCCATAGTTAATAAAGCAATTTTTCTTAAAAAGCTGCAATTCCCTCCAAAAGTGGTAGCTCAACAATAGGATTAGTCTTTTATAGGAGAGGGCAGGGGAGATGAATTGTGCAGTAGGTTGGCTCATCCACGTTAATATAATCTCTGAAAATACAGATGGCATCTGTGAAGTATTGTGACAAAGTAAAGTACTTATCATCCCCTAGAGAGCAATATGTCTTAGTAAATGTTTTCAGAGGTTAACAGCAACTAAATATGATTGTACATATAAAAAGAAAGAAGACAAGGCAGGCGACGAAGACATTGTTGGCACAGTGAGTAAAGCCGGCTGTTTGCAGGAGGTACTCCACAATAAACAGTGATGTTGCTGGGAATATAGCCAGGAATCAGACCTCAAATGTTAAGTTGGGGATTACATCAACACACAGATAAAAGTCTGACCACAAATATTTGAGAAGACAGGTAATAAGAGAAGTGGTGGCACATATATGCAGTCTGTCAACCCAGGGTGGAACTGGAAACTAATTTGGGAATGAAGAACCTTCCAAGAGTGGAGTCAGGGATTCTCACGAACTCAAATGCACAGGTACATATATCTTGGAAAACACTATTTATGCTACCTTGCTCAATTCAGCTTGGTGCACATTTATTAAATGCTCATTACATGCCACAGTCTCTCCATGTTGAGGAAGCCTATGATTGCAAAAGTAAATTCTTATATTACATATGGGTACCACTGAGGTGGGTTCTCCTGGGTGAGAACTGTCCATCTACCTTAGTGCTTTTCCAAATTATCTCTTCAAGGAGCTTACATGTGCACATTAACCAGAGCCAACAAGTAAAAGAAAAGTTCTAGCTTAAATATAAAATTAAAGAATGCTAAGTAAATTTCCTATTTTGAAATGATGAAAATAATTTTTTTTTTGAAGACCTAGTATAATCTAGTTTGTTCATTTTATGGATAGGAAAGCTGAGGCCCAGAAAGACTAAGCAACTTTCCCAAGGTAACCAGAAGCAAAACCAGGATTGGAATCCAGATATCTCTGATTTTATAAAATTGAAATATGAGTGATTATACATATTTGTGGGGTACAGAGTTGAGTGTCAATACCTGAGTATGATATGAGATGATCAAGTCAGGATAATTAGCATATTCTCCATTATAAAACATCATTTCGTTGTGTTGAAAACATTCAATCTCCTCTCTTCTAGTCACATGCAGTAAATTATTGTTAATTATAGGTACCTAGCTCTATTGTACATCAATCAAACTTATTTTCCTATCTAGCTCTTTTGTGTCCATCAGTCCATTTCTTGGTATTCCTCTTCTCCTTCCCCCTTTCCCAGCTGTAGAAACCACAGCTTCTGAAAGTTCATGTATTGTTATGAGGGCTCTCGTTCCCTTCCTTCCTTCCCTTCCTTCCTTCCTTCCTTCCTTCCTTCCTTCCTTCCTTCCTTCTCTTCTTCCTTTCTCTCTGTTTCTCTCTCATTCTCTCCCTCTTTCCCTCTCTCTCTCTATCTTTTTTCATTCCTCTTTCACTTTACCCCAGTTAAACTGGCTATTATCAAAAAGACAGTGAACAACAAATGCTGGCGAGGATGCAGAGAAAGGGGAACACACACACTGTTGGTGGGACTGTAAATTAGTACAGCCATTGTGGAAAATAGTATGGAGGTTTCTCAAACAACAGAAAAGCTACCACATAATCCAGCAATCCCACTAATGGGTATAGATCCAAAGGAATGGAAATCATTATGTCCAAGAAATACCTGCACTCCCGTGTTTATTGCAGATCTTTTCAATAGCCAGGATATGGAACCAACCATCATCAACAGATGACAGGATGAGGAAAATGTGGCATAAATACACAATGGAATACTACTCAGTCATAAAAAAAGAATGAAATTCTGCCACTTGCAGCAGCATGCATGAGCCTGGAGAAACTTAGGAAGTGAAATAAGCCAGGCACAGACCGAGAAATACTGCCATGTCCTCACTCATAAGATGGGAAGGGAATCATTTACGAAGTGAATCATGGGTTGTTTTGTAAGGTTCCTTTAAAACACATGTCTCTATACACATCTTCCTTCACACCCTGGCTCTTAAGAGCAAGTTTATTACAAAAAGCAAGGCATTGGGAGAGAAAAGTCTCTGTCATAATACCGAGGGCATTTTACCTCCACAGTCTCATTTGGTATGTGCTTGATTTATAAGGCCCATAATTAAATGCTCAAATCAGTTCAAGAAATAATAAAGTATGTCAAATCATATTCCCTCAGAGTCCAAGTAGTATGGGGGACACTTCTCCACTTTAATCATCAAGACAGTAAGGGACGGTGGTCAAGGCTGAAGCATCTAGCTTCTGAGTGTCTTGGTTTAAATCCCAGCTGTAACTTCTATCTGGTTGATTGACTTTGGACAATTGCTTAATGGTTCTGAGCCTCATTTTTCTCATCTGTAAAATGGGAATGATAATAATAATGCCTACTAATTGTATTATTAAGAGAATTAAGTGAACAGAGCATGGGAAGGATCTTGGCATGGTGCTTAGAACATAGCTACTGATATTTATGGTATTGATGATAGTGATAACAGTGATGGGGAAAGTAACAATATCTCTTAAATTAGCTTAAGATCTTATAAGCCTGTTCTCAGTCACTGAGAAAACAATCAACTTATCACCAAGTACATAGCTAGTGTAGGGCTAATGAGAACACTTGTATTCAGAAGGACCACCTTTTGCTCCCATTTAAATAATGGTTTTTTTTCTCCCTGTTCTCACAGACCTGCATTGTCACAGGCTTATATGGACAATTTTCACTAAGTAGTAATGCACAGAGCAAAGCAATGTGGCTAAGAGTCAAAAAACATTTCTTGTCCCTGACTATGCCACCAACTTTGTCCAGAGACTGCATCAGTCTGGACCCATACAACAAAAAAACATCTACTTCTAAAAATCTGCAAGTCTAGAACCTCCTTGACTGATGAAGTGAAAAGCAGAAATAATATTAAATTTTGCCATTTTTCTAATGGACAAACAACGCTTTATTTCATGCCCTTCAGGCATCAATTCTGCAGTCACCTTCAGGTATCAAGCTCTGTCTGTACCCAGCCACATTGCATTAAAACCGTTTGGAAGGGAAGGCCAGCTGAAAGATTACATCGCCTTACAAAGTTGAACTAATCTCTTTTAATGCTTTATTTTATATCAATATTCATAAAGTCATGCTTCCCCCCAAGGGTTTATCAACCTCTTAAAAAAAAGATAAATGGAGTTGTTTGCATATTGACCCTGTAAGCGTCCCCACTTGGTTTTCCCACTGCTTCATGAATATCAAAGCCAATAAAAAAAGTAAAATAAAATTAGACTCACTTATTCATATGCATTAAATGAGCCCATGTTTCAAAATAGAGGTGGTATTATTATTTCTTGTTTGTTCTTCAACTGAAAGGCATTATTGAGATTAGTGAAAATACTTGTGCTATGCAGTATAGAAGCCATTTTTTTTTTCCATTTCTACTTCTCTGAATGCATAGGAACCTTTGTACGAACCTCTGTTGTCTCTGACTGTGAAATTTGGATTGTGAATGATTTCGGGGGGGAGGCTGAAGATGAATCTTGGTCCATTGGCTGTGTCATCCTTGTCTTCTGCACTAATCGTAACAATTGGCTGAAAGAGAAAGGTAGCCCCATAAATAAATCATTCTGAGACTCGCACATCATTTATGCAAAAATTCCTGGCTTGCTAAAAAGCCTGGTTTTAATTACAGAACATAGCTCAGAACAAAACCAGGGCTCTGAAACCTCGATGGGCAGTGGGAGGTATTTCCAGGTGATGCTTTAAAAACCAAACTCTATTTCCAATGCATTGCTCCTAGCCATGGAAGGGGAAAGCAGTGTTACCTGGTTGGAAAGTGGCTTGGTCTGATCACTCTCACAGATGAAGCCTTCATAAGGGGCAGCAAACTTGGGAGCGTTATCATTGACATCAAGAACCCTAATGGCCACTGGGACTTTGGCTTCCTGATGTCGGTTGTCTGGGAGGAGAGAGTGCAGACAGTGAACAAACGCCAGGGAGAAATACACGGTGGTTCAAGCTTCCTCTCAGGAAGAAGTAAGCTCCAGCCACCCTTTTGGGCAATTGTTGGCACAAAAGGCATCTAAGACCTGATGTGTACTAAGTTCAGCGTGATGTCCTGGAATAAATATCAATATTAGACCAGTAAGAACTAAACCACTCTTTTGCTTCTGCTGACTCTGATGCTGAGCTTTAATTCTAAAGGTTTATAATGGGCCTGGCCACCCAGAGAGCAGTCTGTCAATGTGGTTCTCAAATTGGGGTCCCCAGAGCAGCTTTAAAAGCATCTGAGAACTTATTGGAAATATACATTATCAGGCCGCACCTTAAACCTATTGAATTAGATGCTTTAAGGGTGGGGGTCCAGAAATCTTTGTTAATATAAGCCGTCCATGAGATGCATAGAGGGCTTGATGCTTGAACAACTGGTCTACAAGTAAATAAGAACAAAGAGCAAATCTTGGATCTACAAACTCCACTGCTCTGGGTTTAACAAAATCTCATGACAGGATGGAATGGGAATTCTTCAGTGAAGGTTGAGTTTCAAATTGCTGAGAGCTATCAGCTCTCTTGCCAAGGCTGTACCCAGCTCTGCCAAAGAAAATGAAAACATTTCTATTTGCCTATATATCTTCCTAGATAGATCACCAAATATAAATTCTAAACACTGAAAAATATGTTTAAGACTAAAATAAATTAGTCTATTTCAGCTATTTCTTTTCCCAGAACATAGAGTCTGAAGGAGCGATATTTGTTAAAGAAGAATCAAACATTTAGGAGAATACTTACGAATTTCTGCTGCAAAGACAGAGATGTTGAGCCAGGCAGTTTCCTCTCTATCCAGAGGTTTTGTAGTTTTAATAAACCCGTCCTCTGGATTAATAGTGAAAAACCTGTCGAGGTCAGTATGAGGATCGATTGAATACCTAAGCAGAACGCAAATGAGGCAATTAGACCAAGACATTTGCAGCACCTTAATATTTGAATATTTTCTCCATGCTATATTTAAAGCAACTTTTTCAATGATCTGCTTGAACTAGGTTTTCTTTTTAATCAAATTTACATTTCAAACTTTGTACATGAATCTTTTATAGAAATCATTTTGCCACATTGGAATTTTTTATTCAGTACAATGAATGAAAGAGCTCTTTAGCATATTTGATTGAGAAGTATAATAACATGTTGCATATTTCTCCATATTTACTACAATCACCCCAGTACCTGAATATTTATGAAATTGCATTTGGGAAGTGAGTTTGCCTTGCTCCCAAACTACTCAGGAAGTCACAAATGGATCAAACCTTTGCCAAATGTTCACCTGTGTAATATTAGTTTCAAGTTTATCTAAACTTATCATCGAGGATCATTTATAGCCCTAAAAATCAATTCTCTGCTTATTTAAAGAAAAATGCTAAATAATTTTGAGTGAATTTGTTCAGTTTGTTTAGTTTTAGCAGTTGTCAAGTGGCTTGGTTCTGAATTCCAGGGTGCAATATGCAAAGCAGGATTGGCTATTCATTTGTAGAGCATTCTCCCCATACCTTAATCATTCCAGGCTGTGCTTAACAGCTTAGCTAAAAGCTAAGAAGGTTTTAGCTACTACTCCTCACTAGGAAATTTTGTTTGTTTGTTTGTTTGTTTAACAAAAGACAAAATAATTTCCATATTATTATTAGGGTATATTTATGGCATGGTGAGGTAGGAGATGGGAGAAGAAGAATGATCTTTATTGAGGTATGCTAAGGTAAAATAACTTGCTCAAACAGGATACTAGAGAGCTGGTAGGTTTTGGGGCCTTGGTTTTAATGGCTCTGTTGAACTCCAAGGCTTCCTCCCTTTCCACTCCACCATACTAACTCCAAAATGAAGAAGGGCAAAGACGGATTCAGATAACATGCTGAGCTTCATCACTGGGTGGTTTCCTGCTCTTAGAGGCTTAGCTGTGTTTTTCTAAAATTTACAAAATACATATATCTGAATGCATTTGTTGATGGTCAAAAATCAAAGAACATAAGAGGTAGCAAAGACCATGGATATCCCAGGGTTTAATCTCCAGATTTACAAAACATTGAGTTTGTAAATGGTCTATGTCTGTTTTCCAGGAGAGCCAATATGGGAACAGGTCTTCCAATCCCAGATCATGTTCTTTCTGAAAAAGAGGAATCACCTATCATGCAGCATTTCACAGTGCATGAAATATGAGCTCATCCATTATGGAATTTGATGTCACAGCTCCCTATGGGAATGGAATGATGAGTCCCTTGCCTCAGTGATGAAACTGAAGATGTTACACACCTCATAAATGGCAGTACATGCTCAGTAACTGAGCTCTCAGCAGATAGCAGTACTTGGAAAGGAGGCAAAAAACAATAGAAGACTTTTTTTCCTTAATATAATTTTTTCTAAGTTCACCCATGTTGCTGCAAATGGTAGTAATTCATTCTTTTTTATAGCAGAATAGTATTCCATTGTGTAGATATACCATATCTTATTTATCCACTCATCTGATGATGGACATTTGGGTTGGTTCCAACTCTTGGCTATTGTAAATAGTGTTGCAATCAACACTGGAGTGCAGGTATCCCTTCGACATGATGATTTCCATTCCTCTGGGTATATTCCCAGCAGTGGAATAGATGAGTCATATGGTAGATCTATCTGTAATTGTTTGAGGAAACTCCATACCATTTTCAGTGAAATAAGTCAGGCACAGAAAGAAAAATACCATATGTTCTCACTTATTTGTGGGAGATATAAATAAATAAATATACAAACAAATGTTGGGTCATAGGGAAAAAGACACAACAATCACAACAATTCCTTGAACTTAAGACAAGTGAACAGATATGATGTTGATGGGGGAGAGGGGGGAGAGGGAGGGGGAAAAGAGAAATCAGTAAAGGGACAAAAAAAATCAACTAGATTGCATACTGATAAATTAAAATGAAAGAAAGAAAGAAAGAAAGAAAGAAAGAAAGAAAGAAAGAAAGAAAGAAAGAAAATAAAGAAAAGGCTTTTTTTTCCTGTCAAGAGGGAGCTTACTATTTAGTTCACATGACAACACACACACAGGAAGAAAGACATTAATGTGAACTATTATTCTATAGAAGTTAATGGCATGGGTTTTGGTTTGGGAAATTCCTAGGTACAGTTTTCTGCTCCAGTATGTACAAACAGGATGATCTAAAGCCACTTAAGATCTTTGAACTTCAGCATCTTTACCATTTAAGCTGGAGTATTGATGGTACCTAACTTTTATGTTATCTGTGAGAATTAAAAGCAGTAATAGATGTTTAAGATACATAACCCAGTGCCTCACACAGTCAATAAGCAGATCAACCACCAATGACTGCTGTTATTTTTGTTGTTGCTGCTGCTGTTTTACAAACTGAGGCCAGAGCAGAGAAGCTCTCAAGTGTCAGAGCATGACCTTTATCTTATAGGCAGTGAGAAATCATGAAAGGCTTTTGAACAGAGGAGCCAATAAATGGAATCAGGCTACCAGGGTGGTTAAATAAGGTAGGGTGAGCAGAGAGAGTGGAGGAAAGAGTAGAGGAAATTTGAGTATCTGATATAGTTTTGAAGGCATGAGGTGATAAGAGCATTATGTACAGGAGTGGCAGAGGGAAAATTAGGTGACAAAGAAAGTACCAGGAGAACTCAGTGGGTATCTGGATATCTGAGGGAGGCTGGGAGGGTCCTAGATAATTTCTCACCCGAGTGTCTGAGAAAGGTAGCTATTGGGAGACACAAAATGAAAGTCAATAAACAGGAAGGAGAGGTTGAAATTCAACTAGGGATATGCCACAATTCTCAGAGAGCAAAGACTCCGCTCTATTGTGGGTTTCATGGAGTCAGGGATGAAGTCAGCTTACTTTCTTTCTTTCTTTTTCTTTTCTTTCTTAGGTGTGTCAAAATAAGAATGAGCTCAGAAATTTGATTTAAATGATGAGTGAGCCTGTGAAAGAAAGAGCAAATGGGTGAAAATGTGGGGCAGACAGTATAATAAACACAGAATTAGAATCAGGGAGAAAGATCTGCCTAGACGTAGAGAATCTGGAGCATAAGCTCAATTCAATCATGGCATGGGTCAAAGCTCTTCAGGTGAATGGGCATAGAGAGATGAAGGCCAAAGACAAAAAGCTGAGCCTTAGGGAGCCTCCAATGCCTGGACAGGGATCAAAGACTAGAGAAGACATCAGGCATGGTGTTATCTGAGGCATGAAGAGGTTAGTGCCAAGGAAGCTAAAGGGAGAGAATATTTCAGGGAGAAAATGGTAAAAAAAAAAAAAAAAAATGTGTTTAATGCCACAGAGTCTGAGAAAAAAGATCTGCAAAATGTCCAAGCAGCTAAGAGTTTGTGTGACTGTATAAGGCCTTACCTTTATGTCCAAGGACACAAATTCCCTTAAAGTTAAGGAGAAGGAATCAGAAAATCAGGTAGTGAGGGTAACAGGTCCATTCAATAAAAAGCTTTGAATGTTCTTTCATTATCTGTCTAGCAATTCTAAGAACAGGCCCATGTGTGAGGGCAGGGGGTTGGTTCAAGTGTGGTATTAAGCATCCTTGGATAATTATAGACATGGAGATTGCCTACATGCACAGAACAGCTACCACTGAAAATATGACCCTAATAACCAATTGCAGATGTGGTTCCGTGGAGACTATGAGGCGCAGAGGAAATGAGTGGTTGTTCCATGTATTTTTACGTCACTGCTCTTTTAAAAAGTTGCTAATGCACCTCGATATTCTAGGTCAAAAATAACTCCTTTAAAATTCACACACGGGCATTTTTAAGTAGTTTAAAGGTATTGCAAGGGTCTCCTGTCATTATATAATATATCTCCCTGCACAGAGAGAACACGGTAATCAAACCTTCTCGGGAAATCTTTCCATTAGTGGCTGCTGGGTTAAAGTAAAAAGCTCAAAATGGATTCAAGGCAGATCTTAGCTAAAATCCAATCTCTAACACTGACTGGCCATGTGACTTCAGGGAAATCACATAACCCCTCTGGGCCTCAGTATTTCTATTTATTATATCCTAGAGCAATCACAGCTTCAAAAGGTATCTATGAGGATTAACCTAAATAAATTGGATCAACAAGTTGTCTGGGGCTAAGAAGATGGATATTTTCTCTCTTTCTCCAGAAGGGATAATGTACAAAGATCCAAAGACAATTGAGCAACATTTATAATTGAAAATTCCTTCTGCTGTGCCTTCATTTTCTTTGATATAAATGGACAAACTCCAGCGTTCATGGTAATTTTTTTCTCATACTCTGATCTGTTTGCTTTTTATAAGTATCTGCCTTCCTAGGTAATTGGGAGCCCTCAGTGTGTGGCCAATAATGTTTGTTGAATAATTGCCTGAATAAGATGTCATCACCTCTATCATGCTTCATACTTTTTACACTCAAAAATTGTGAGCTTGAATTTCTAGCCAATGTGGGTGCAATTTTATTTAGCCATTCAGTAAATATTTATTAGACAACCACTATGGGCTGGCACTCTGTTAGTGGAAGCATGCAGTGATAAGCTAGAACAGGAGTCAGCAAACATGTTCCATAAAGGGCCAGCTAGACGATAGTTTAAGTGGTGCAGGAAGTAGGGTCTCTGTCACAACTACTCAACACTGCCATTGTAGCATGCAAGCAGCCATAGATTATATGCAGGACAATGGCATGACTGTCTTCCAATAAAACTTTGTTTACAAAATAGGTGATGAGAAGAAAGCTGAAGAACTCACAGTTCCTGACTTCAAAACTTACTACAAACTATGTGGTACTGGCATATGGGTAGGCATATAGATCAATGGAATAGAATTGAGAGTCCAGAAGTAAACTCATACATCTATGACCAGTGTTTAACATGGGTGCCAAGAACATTCAATCAGAAAAGAATAGTCTTTTCAACAAATGATACTGGGACAATTGGGTATCCACATGCAAAATAACAAATTTGGGTCCCTTCCTCATAAATTAGCTCAAAGTAGATCAAAGACCTAAATAAAAGAGCTAAAACCATAAAACTTCTTAAAAATATATAGGCATATATGTTCATGACCTTAGATTAGGCAATGATTTCTTAAATATGACACCTAAAAGTAGAAGTAACCAGAGGAAAAAATAAATAAATTGGACTTCATCAAAATTTAAAACTTTAGTGCTTCAGAGGACATTATCAAGATGGTGAAAAGACAGCCCATAGAATGAGAAAAAATATTTGTGAGTCATACATTTGATAAGGCCCTAGCATCCAGAACATATAAAGAACTCTTAGAACTCAACAATACAAAAACAAATAACCCAATTACAAAATGGGCAAGGGATTTGAATAGACATTTCTCCCAGGAGTATATACAAATGGCTGATCAGCCTATTGAAAGATGGTCAACATCACTAGTTGTTAGGGAAATACATATCAAAACGAGAGTGACATTATCATTTCACACCCGCTAGGATACCTATCATCAAAAACAGCAATGATGAGACTGTGGGAGGAACTGGAACCCTCATACACTGTTGGTGGGAATGTACAATGGTACAGCACTGTGGAAAATGGTTTGGCAATTCCTCAGAAAGTTAAACACAGAGTTACTGCACACCTCAGCAATTCCACTCCTAGGTACATACCCAAGAAAGAGGAAAACATAGGTTTGCAAAAACCTTGTGCAAGGACATTCATAGCAGCATTATCTATGTTAGCCCAAAGTGGAAAAAAAAAAAAACAAATGTTCATTCAACTGAAAAATGGATAAACAAAATATGGTACACCTATATAATGGAATGTTATTTAGCAATAAAAAGAAACCAAATACTGATATATTCTACAACATGGATGAACTTCAAAAATATGCTAAGTGAAAAAAAGCCCTGTCATATAAGGCCACTTATGTTTTATTCCATTTATATGAAATGTCCAGATTAGGCAAATGTGTAGAGACAAAATAGATTAGTGGTCACTGGGGGTTAGGGGAAATGAGGAATGAAGAATGACAGGCTAGCCAGCTGCCAAGGAAAAAAAAAAGAGAGAGAGAGAGAGAGAGACTGTTAAGATGTATGGAGTTTCTTTTTAGGGTAATGAAAATGTTCTGGAATTAGACAGTGGTTATGGCTAAACAAAGTTGTAAAATATACTAAAACTAAACACTGATGAATTACACTTGAAGGCCAAAATTTATGCTTTGCAATATGTAAATTTTTTCTCAATAAAAAAGAGAGACAGAAAGAAGCAGATGGTGGCTGGCTTTGGCCTGTGGGCTATAGTTAGTCGACCTCTGAACTAGACAGTCCCTAAGCCCTCTTTGAGTCTGCCACCTACTGATGACTACACACAATGTAAGGTGTCACTGTGATGTAGCCTGGTGGGTGTTCCGAGGTGGAAGCCCATGGGAAGGACACCTGACCATCTCTAGAGAGCCCTGCAAGAACTCCTGGCGGAAATGACACCTAAATGGGATGGAGAAAGTGAGTACAGTGTAGCAAGTTGGAAAGGCAGAGAGTTCCACCCAGAAGAAAGAACATGTAAAAGACAGGGATTAGGAGAGGGCCGGAGTGCTGCAGAGAATGGGATTGAGGTGGAGGAGTTCGAAGACAGTCCTTATATTTTTTTAAATAAAAATGTTTAGATCATTCAGGAGGGGATAGGCAATGGGGAAAAATTCGATCATTGTTTTTTTTTTATTGTTTGTCAACTGAGGGATGATGTGATGTTTGGATGTCCGTTTTATAAGGATCAATCTGCCTACAGGATTGACAGGTGAGAGACCAGAGGCAGGTAGACCATGAGGAGGCAGATGAAGGAACCCAGGCAAGAAAGGAATTAGAGGAGAGGCCAGGGAAAAATAAATGCCTTCCAGAATCTGGTCCGGGACAGGTTTCAGGCAACTATAAATTTCCACAGTATCAATGTCTTGTATCTGTGATTCAAGCCACTTCCCACCCTCATTTCCATTACCCTTCTGTCTTTATCCTCAGCCTCATCGGTCATTAACTCTGGCTGGGGATAGCAGTAGGGAAGCAGGGTCCTGCACAAAGATACATTCATCACGATAAAAACACCCTAAATTTGTTTAGCTCTTCACAACCTTTCCAAAGTGCTCAGCAGCAGTGAGACAGAGCTTGCTTTCCCAGCCGCCTGATCACCAGCTGTGTCATTCTGGGCAAATCTCACACAGAGTCCAATTTTCTCTCAGTTCAAAAGAGAACAATTCATATTACAAAATGTTAGGAGGATAAATTAGATCATATGTCTAACACATCTAGGAGAGTAACTAGAGCTCAGGAAGGTGTTCAATCAATTGTAATTACTATAATGATTTCACAATCATTATTTATACTTCACCACAGTTCCCTGAGGCAGATGGGCCCAGTTCAGGGTTATTTTACCAGGTAGATACTGCAAAATCTGCTCCAGAGAGAAATTACATAGCTCGAACCAAAGCTATCCAAAAAGTTAGTAGCAGAGCTGAAGTGGAGCGCATGTCCTCTAAATCTTAATCTTGTTTACATTCCATTGAACCTGATAAACTTGGACCCTTTCTGAAATTGAAGGATGTGTTTCCCACAGGGCTTTCTCGAAACCTCTTGCCTCTAAAATTCCCCATCCAGGCTCTAAAAATAAATCCGTTTGTACCTTATCGGGCTGTTGGCAGCATCAGGGTCTTTGGCATGCACTCTCCCAACCACAGTGCCAGCAGCTGCATTTTCTTGGACCTCATGGGTGTAACTTGGGGCCAAGAACATGGGGGGCTCATCAGCATCTTCTATTGCAATCTTGACCGTCACAGTGTCCTTGAAAGGTCCGTTGCTGATGAACTTCGGGTCGATGTGCACATTGGCTGCTTCTACCTTCAAGCTGTATGCTCTTTTGGTTTCAAAATCTACGGGCTGGCAAGAATGAAGAGACGATTGAAAACCAATTCTTTGAGAGAATAATGAAAGAGAAGGACCTGATTGTTTTATAGGCAAAGTGAATAGTTCTGCAAAGAGGGAAAATCAGTGTCTATTCAATATCCAATTACCTGAGCCATTTGGTCAGAAAATCAGACAAATCAATTGCTGAAACTTGGGATGTGCTTAATGGGTGGTTCTAGGAGCATGCCAAACACTGAAAGACCATATCGTCTAAAATGAACCTCATTCTATACAGCAACACTGAGGTTGCCCATATGAGTCACTAAAAATCACCTAAGAAAGAGAACTAAAACACTCCAAAAATAAATGTAGCCCGTTCTGTAAGGCATTCGGAATCTTGGTAATAAATATGCCTACTGAATTTCAGCCGAAGAACACAGGAGTGTCTTGTTTAATGACTGCTCCCCCCCACCCCACCCCTCACCCCTGCTGCACACACACATCTAGCTTAACCATACTGACAGCCTTATTTTTTTTTTTAAGTTTCTGATCATTTTTGCTTCTCAGTCTGGGATCCTCACCAACAGTGGCCCAGAAGATGACTTAAAGTGGTTTATGGGTGACTTTGGTAGGTGGGTTGTTAAATGACATTAACTTACTTATCAACATCATTATTCTTTTTTCAATTCTTTGGATCCTGAAAACACTAAGGAGAACATAACAGAATAGTACGAATTTTTAACATGTATGCTGTGCTTCCCAATCTCCCTTATGAGCGACTATGACCATTCTCTAGCTAGAATGTATTGACGACGTTTGGTTTTGATTGCATCCATTTTTAGGTTACCATCTACTTATCGTAAGTCATAGGACAATGAGGATAATGTTCTCTTTCTAAATGAATGCATATATATCAAAAAATGCTCCATTTAAAGAAAAAAACAATTATGAGCAGTAGAGATTTTACACTACAAATAGGACAGATTTTTACACAGATATGAAAGAAAAAAAAAAGAGGACGAGCATTTGAATGGCTGCAGTTACAGGGAAACTGATAAACACTTCCTAACTCTAAATGAGAGGATGTGCAGTGAATCAGTCTGCAAAGGGTGAAAAGTAGCATCGTAGCAGAGAAACAAGCCCTGATGCTTAGGGAACAGCTTCCTAATTAGCACTCTGGATGATGCTGAACTACCAAATGTTTGGAGAGAGTTTGATCTTTTAAGGCAAGCATCTGCCTGCCATGCTGTCATCATTTGCCTGGCAAACACTTATTTTGAATGAGAACATAATCACAGAGCTTAGTCCTGACCTAATTCCAGAGAACTCTAAACCAAGGATGATCCCAGTTTCCGGAAGGTTAAACATATTCAACATCTTTGACTCTTTTTCTATCATTTTCCTACCTCCATCTCCCCAGAGTCAGTGAATGCTTTTCCTAAGTCTAAATCGTCTCCCTGTCTTTCTACCCACCTGGGACTCAGCAGCTCCTTATCCTTGGCTGGGTACTGAGCAGCAGAAAGGAATGACATTTAAAGGCTGAAAATATGAAATTGCTGCAACTTCCCCAAAATCTCAAAAATCTCTGCATTTATTAGACAGAATTGGAAACTGGACCATAGAAGTTCTGAGACCAAGTGATTTGTAACCAGAAAAGGTGAAATCGTCTAATCTCAGTCTGTTGATGCCTCCAGAGCAGAGCCTTTTGAACTTGGTTTGGGCACATGCCTAAGGACCCAGAGCCATGTTCTCAAGGGCAAGCTCTGTTGATGTGGAGAATAGCAGAGTCATGCTGTAGTCTTATGGATGCATTTCACATCCCAGCCTAGGCTCTCCAGGTCTTCGCAAAGGTTTGTTTAGAATGTTCTTTCCAAGTTTGGTGAGATTGAACTAAGTCTTCTGGTAGTCAGCACAAGCCCCATTGCTGTGTGAAGTCCTCTTCAACAAGCGCAGGCAGATTTGTGTGGTCCCTTACTGCCTTTCTGCAGTCCCTCGTTTCCCTCCCCCTGCTACATCAAGAACATCCCAAAGAAGTCTACTAAGTCTTGTTGGTCTTTGCTGATCTTTGCCTCCCCAGTTTCCGGGAACGACTGCACCAGGTGATCATATGCATCCCTCATTTTGACTGAATGAGGAGCAGAGCTAAGCATTTACCTGCAATTTATTTCCTTCCCCTTTCCAGAAAGGATCTGAAGTAGTTTCCCGTGTGAACATTTATATCCATGTTATGAGTAGCTGAAATAAAGCTAAATGAGGCAACATGTTGCATAAGCCATAAAAACCTTAATACCCCCTAGTTTACTAATCCCACCTCTGGAAATTCTCCCCGAGGGATTAATTCAACAGAAAACCAAAACAAACAGTATTCAAAAGTGTGTGATATTTATTTGTTAGATGTAATAGAGGGTTATATCTAATCTGAGGAAACATACACACAAAACACCAAATCCAACTGTGAGATTTTATTAAGGAAATAATGGTCCATCAATAGGATGGGGTGTTATGTACTCATTAAAAATGTTGATGTATATTATATAACAGCATGTAAAAGTTTATGATGTGACATTAAGTTAACAAATCAGATCACCCTATGATTGCCACCGTGTTAAATGTTATGTATCCAGATATATATACATGTGGACAGAAAAGATAAAGAAAAAATCAGACATAAAAATCGTTTTATTAAAATGGGGATTATTCTAACTGTCTTATAATGCTGCTCTCACACTGCTTTACAATGAGTTTATATGGTTGGAAATAAATAGCTCAGAAACTGTGCTGGGATTTTTCTGCATTAGATGGGATTCCTACTTGATGAAGCGTGTTGCAGTGAACACGCTGGATTTTCCTCCCCACCTCTACCAAGCCACTAAAAGACTTATTTTTATTTTACACTGGTTCTTCTTCAACTCACCACATAGGGATTATCTAAGTACTGCAAGGGTAGGTTCCTTTCCTCTTTTTCACTGTGGAACTCCAACACAGAGTCAGAACTCAAGAAATATCTGTTGTTTTCTAAACCATTCAATAGATGAATCACACTGCCTACTAATTATTTCGTGAATTCTTCTCCTCCACTAACATCTCACCACATCTTCTGCCTTCTTTAGTTCTTTGTCATGTCTCCCTTGAATTCCAAATACAGTTTTTCAACTGGTCCAACTGTATCTATCTCAAGACTCAAGACTGAATGTGTCTTAATAATGCAGTTTCATAAGCGTGTCCTGTTTTCACTGATGCGAGTCCTTCATGAACTCACTTTTTCTGCCTTTTTTCTCCTTATCTATCCAGCAAATTTCTATTATCTTTTAAGACTCAGATCAATAGTTGACCCCCCAAAGAAGTCATTCATGACCCATATTCATAGGTCTTATTACACTGTATTGCAGTTGGTTTTCAGCTGGGGAGTGATTCTGCTCCCAATCATCCCAGAGACATCAGGAAATGTCTAGAGCTGTTTTTCATTATCACTACTGCTGGGTTGGGATGGAGTGCATGCTACTGACCTCCAGTGAGGAGAAGCCCGGGATGATACCAAACAACCTAAAATGCACAGCACAGCCCCTACAACAAAGAATTATCCTTCTTGAAATGCCAGCACTGCCAAGGCTAAAAAACTCCATTTTAATTGTTTTTTCACTGAACTATACCGTTAAATTGTGATCTCCCTGTGGCCAGGACACTGTCTCTTCAACTTTAGATTTCCAGCCTCTGGCAAAAGGCCTGCATAACAAATGGTAAATCAGTAACTATGGGAAAATGGGTGAATAAATTAAGAAATAAATGAAAGTGCTGTATTAAAAATAGTTTTAAAATAAGGAAATATTTACATGATCTCTCCATACCCTTTAATGGTATTAAATTGTGGAAGTCATTAAATATAATGACTTCCACAAGGATTCATGTTTTTACTCTGTTAAATTCAAACTTGATTTTTTTTTCCTGGTGGATATCTGGAACGTTGTGTTAGAAATTTAAGCAAATGTTCTATTACAAATTAAATAACATCTTATATTGTTTTAAACCTAAACGTCAGTGCTTTATAGAAGATTACTCTTTTGCCTGGAATAAACACACTGAATTGGGAGAAAATGTGCAAATTAATCACATGCATAGAGCTCATTTGCAACGTGTGAGTTCCATTGGGGTGATTTAAATCTTTTAAGATTTTAGAGACACACCGTGTGTATATGCCCTGAATACATTGAAAACAGGTGACAACCTTAGCGTAACCAACTACTCAATTACTCAAACAGCAAAGGATGAGAGACAGGAAATGCTGATGTCAACATTCATATGTCAGTGTCAAGCAGGAGGGATAGTAATACTAATTAACAAAGGAAGCTGACAGCTCTAGTCTACACACAATTCATACAGCTACTCTTGCAGAGGAAAAACCAGAAGGAATGACTACCCGAGCCCCTGTGGCTGATAATAAGGTTTCCTCAATCCCATCATTCATCTTCACTAATGTAGACTTTCCCAACTATGCGAAGTTCACCCCAATTTCCATATCCCATATTTTCTTTATTCTTTTATGAGAGAGTCACTCCATGCCTTTACTTTGTTCTGTGCCCATAATATTTTCTCCAAACTCAACACACTTTTTTTTTTCCCTTTTTGTCTTTTTTCGTGACCGGCAACGGATCGCAACTCTCAGTGTCGCACCCGTACCTCGCTCAGCCAGTGAGCGGCCGGTCTGTATGTGGGATCCAAACCCTCAGCGGGAGCGCCACCGCACTCTCAAGCGGCGCACTGTAGCAGAGCGCCACCGGGCCGGCCCTCAACACACTTTTAAATGTTGTGAAAGATCAGCTTCTCCTCTCCCTGTACTGAAAGATTCCTCCCAGGATCGGTCCTCCCCTACCCCTCCCTTCCCTCCTCTTTAGCTACTAGCCCCTTTATTGATTCTTCAAATTAATTTCTTATCAGTGTTACAATCCAATCTTTTCCATCACACCAAGGAGCTTAATATTCATGCTACAAAATCAAGTTGAAAATGAATGCTTGATTAAAACCAAGGTAATCCCATCATCCAATTCAGATTTAATGCTTCATACACTTTGATGATGGAGAGGTGTTGATTTCTCAAGTGGTAAATTGGGTGTAGGGGGAGGAACCATTTTAGAATATACTGTAACTGTTTCTTCACTTGAAAATGAATCTTATTTGGCTCTCCTTTATAAAGGCTTTCCGGTCCAGCTGTTTCCAGATTGTCTTGAGAGGGAAATTGTTACAAAATAATCTAGGTTTGAATTCCATGTCGTGAATCATGAACTGGGTCAAACCGCTTAATGTCTGAGCCCCTGTCTCCTCAAAACTAAGTTGAGGTATCATTGCCCATTGGGATAATACTATTTACTTTATATGATATTTTTGTGAAAAATAAAAGATGTTTGTAAGAGGCTCAGCTATGTCTGGCTAATGGTTAGTATTGTGTAAATGTTAGATTTAAAAAAGAAAAGAAAAGAAAAGAAAAATAAATAAATAAATAAACTCTCTCCTCTGTGTAATAAATTAACCCAGGGACATGTTTTTAATGCCAGCCTCACTGTGAAGAAAAGGCCATTATTTTTGTTTCTCAAGGTTCAATTTTGAGAGAAAAAAGCAAGTAGAGGATTGGTCCAAGTTTCACACATGTTTCAGGAAGGCAGTGAGCCTTGAATGTTTGAAATAGAAAAAGTTCTGGACAGGCTATATTAACAGACTCAGTTTGACAGAGCTAAAGGCAGAACCTCACACGTGCTTAGGGCTGCTTCTGCAATACCTAGATTTATCTAACTGTCGTTCCTTCTGTGCAACTGTGCCAAAACACACAAGAACGAGCCAGCAATCTCAGGCCTCACTGGCCTCTTTTGTCAGCTCCCGCTGCAGTAACAGAACAGAATACAGGTCTACTATCTCCCCAGAGCTCAGAGTGCTGGACTGCAAAGTCAGGTCAGCCCCCAGTTGTCCGTATTTTCATTTCTAAACCTTCAACTCCCTGTTTCTTGCAGCGTTATCTTGGCAGGGCAGGCCACACTATGGACACATCTGACTCCTCACCCTAACTTACCTTTTTCAGTTTCACCACGCCCTCCTGAGTTTCATAGTCCGTTGTGATTTCAAATAATTCCATGCCATCTCCGTCAACAATATTGTATGTGACTAAGCCATTCTCTCCAATGTCCGGGTCTTTAGCCTTCACTCGTCCTACTTCCTCCCCAGGCACGGCTGCTTCAGACACAGACATCTGGTATACGCCTAGAAAAAGAAAATATCTATTTTTATTTTCCTTTTTATTTGGCAGCTGTGAGACTTTAGATTTCATTGAATCCCAATAAATTTCTCAAAGGGTTTGAAATGGAACTTGCTATTGATTGAAAACATGAAAGAAGTGAATGGATGGTTGGAAGATCCCGGATGGCCTGCTTGTCAAAAGAATGTGTTCTATAAGGAATGATAAAACAGTATTGGGGTCCAAGGTGAAATGGAGGGGTCACCTGCCACATGCAAGGAAGAAAAACAATGCTCAGGAATATTTCCCATCAGGAAATGATGAAGAACCACACGTTTCCATACATTTAAATAGCTAAGACTTCTTTTCATGTCTTTAGGATGGTCCCTGAGTTAATTCCAAGGCTCACTTACGGCACTGCCAAGTGCCCAGAAGAAAAACCCTTCTCTGTTTAAAAGCCTTCAACAACTCTATATTTATTTTAAAATCAAAAGCAAATTTTATCTTTCAAGGTCATGCCCCTTCTAAATATATTTGACTCTCTTACTTCCCATCCTTCACCACTTGGCCAAGCCCTACCTCCTCTGGAAAGCTTCCCACTGGATGACCCTTCCAAAAATATTTATTTAATATTTATTGTGAACCTAATGCATGCCAGGCACTGTCCTAGCCCCTGGAGACTTAGTAGTAAGCAAAATAGTTCCTTTCTTAATGAGGCACACTAAAGAGAAGGAACAAAATTGTATATATAGTCTGATGTCATTGCTGGGAAGCAGAAAAATAAAGCAGGGTAAGAGGTAGAGGGTCATAAGAGAGTGAGTGGGTGGTCGTGTGTGTAAGCGTATGATTGAGTGTGAGTGATTACATTTGTGTGAATGTGTGAGTGAGTGATCAAGTGTATCTGAGTATGTTGTGCATGAGTGTGAGCATGCATACGAATGTGTGAGGTGTATTTCTGTGTGTTTGTGAGTAAGTGTATGCATATGTTTGTGTTAAATATGTGTGGGTGAGAAGGAGAGAGAGATCGATTTTGAGTATGCTGGTTGGGGAAGACATACTTTAGAAAAGGCATCTGAACTTCTCAAAGGGACTGAGCAAGACAGTTGTGTGAATACCTGGGGGATAAAAATGATGGGCCCAGGTTACAGCAAATGGTAAACACCCCAAGGTGGGAATGTCCCGAATACATGCAGAACAGCATGAGCACAGGTGTGGCTGGAGCCACCTGGCGAGAGGTAAGTGTATGTAGGTAGGTAGGGGGGCCCTGTTGTGTAAAAGAAAAAGGCGTTGTAGGAGATGGAAAAGACTATGGGTTTTGTTTAAATTTGGGTAAGCCACTGGAAGGTTTTTAGCAGGGGAATGAGATTTGATATTATCTTATTTGCATTTTCACATTTAAAAAATACTCTGGTCAAGACATAGTATAGAGAAGCAAGGGTTGGAATTTCCTCTACCACTTCCAAGCTAAGTGGTCTTGGGTGAGTTACTTAACCTCTTTATGTTTTAGTTTCCCCTTTTATAGACTTATTAGTTCCAGTACTCTCTCTATGTGTATCTACATTATTTGGCTTTGAATACTTTCAGTGTGGTCTCATCATTCACCTTAATCTCACCAATTCCTCCATATTAGAGGACAAGTGGGAGGTGGGAGTCTCTCTCTGTAGATAATTACCAATTTATACAAAGGTTGAAAATAATATGTCATAAGTTAATTTCTTCAAATCTCATTCAAGTTCATGGTGGTGAAGCTTGTATAACTAGTGCGGTAGTAATGTAACTTCTCCATAGGATGGTCTGTGACCAGGGGCATTAAGGGTTGCCTGCTAATAATCCTGCATTGCATTTTTCTTCTAGCACACCACACAGTTTTACAGAGTGGATAACGGAGCATGCAATTTCTAGAATGTTACATGAGCCTTAAGCTTACTAAGGATGCTGAACCTTGTGCCTGACCATGCAAAGCAGTCTTTCCTCATCTTTTCTGGGACCCTATGAGAACTGATAATTGCCTTGTCATCTTCTATCTCAATGTTTACCCCATGTAGATTATTGTCTTTGGATTCCTTTGAGTAACCATGGCACCTTGATGGGGCCTTGTTCTCTCATTTGTAAAAAGTGTCATTTCTCTAGTAATAAATTCACAGGTTCCAATGAGAAAGACACTTTCACAGTGAGCCCTTTATGCACTAGAGGCACGAGCATCATTATGATCATACCGTACCTATACATGCACCAACAGATTTGTGTTCAAGTTCTGGCTTTGCCACATTTCCAGGGCAACTTATTGTACTTTCCCTGGAACCCAGTCTTATCTGTAAATTGTAGGCTCTTGTAGAAATTTACAATAGTAGTGACTGTCCATTAAGTGATGATAGTTGTTGTTCTTACAATTATTAATAACCTTTCAAAATCATTTTCTTTTAATTCCCTCAGCAATCCTATAAATTTTGTGAAATGACCATAATCCCCCACATAACAACGACTAACATTTGTTGGCAACTTATGTCGGGTGTCATTATAAGATTTTACACTAGCTCATTTAGTCCTAACAATAATCCAATTACTTAGGTATTGTGGAAGACTGCATTTTCCAATGTCCCAAATAATATCTCCCATCCCATATGCTTTTCCCTCACGATGACTTTGACAGTGCTTCCATCGCAAGATGGAGTCTACATGAGCTCCACTTAAATTTGGGCAGCCTTAGGGCTATAATGGTAATGATGCTATGCAGCTTTGGAAGCTACTTTACGAAAGGTAACACTGTTTTTGCCTGGTGCCCCTGGGTCTCCTGCTTTCAGAACCAAGCCACGGAGAGGCTCACATAGAAAGGACCAACATTCAACACGAACTCACCAGCCATGTGAGTGAGCAATCTTGGAAGTGGGTCTTCCAGCCCCAGTAGAGCTGTGCCCGGCTGGTGCTGTGGGGAACAGACAAGTTGTCCCTTCCAACCCTTGCCCAAATTGCAGACTTATGACAGAAATAAATGATTATTACTGTCTCAAACCACTAAGGTTTTGGGCAATCTGTTACATGTAAATGATACCTGATACAGGCACTGTTATATCCAGGTTATAAATGAGGACACTGATACAGGGAAGGCTTAATTAATTACTAGATTGCATCACTAGTACCCAGTAAAGTAATTAGCAAACCGATTTTCTGTTTCCCGTTTCCAGGGATACAGAAATTCTTTTTTGGTAGCTGGCCAGTACAGAGAACCAAATCCTTGACCTTGGTGTTACAAGGCCACTCTCTACCAGCTGAGCTAACTGGTCAGCCCCTAGGTCACAGAATTTTCTATGTCTCCTCTTTTTCCCACAACCTCTATTCCACCTAAGTTTTGTTGTTATTGTTGTCATCTTCTTTTGTTGTTTGCAAAAATGATATAAAGAGCCTCCAGTTTTCTAGATTTTTCTTTTTTAAAGCTGAGTAAAGCAGGAATGGGTCAGAGAAGACAGAGAGCTGGCTGTGGCACCATTGAAAATTGAAAGCCAAGCCCATCTACTTACTCTGTGGAAACTTTGGTGGGTTGTCATTGACATCAGTCAGTGTGATCATCACTTTGGTTGTCCCTGAGAGTCCGCCCATGTGTCCACCCATGTCCTTGGCCTGGATCACCACGTGATACTCCTCCTTGGCTTCCCTGTCCATGTTGGGAAGGGCTGTTCTGATGATACCTGGACAGGAGAGCAGGAAACATCACAGCCATTCATTGATAACAACATTAGAGCAATAAAAATGTTCTAGGCACTGGTGAAGCAAAGATGAATAAAACACTCAACGTCCTCTAAGCAGAATCATTTCAACATGATAATTGTAACCCAAAGCAACCATACCTGAAGCATGTCTTTTTAAGCAAATCGTAAAAATTACTAATATAACATTAATTTTTGATTTATATGTTTCATTGCACAAGCAAGTAATAATCTCACTCTTTTCAGGTATAAATATCCTAAAGATTGAAATATTTGAGTGCCCATTTGATGGATATCCATGAACAAACCCTTATTTTTGGACTTTCAGCAGAATCTTTTGAAAGTTTATTCCTATTCCTGCGTGCAGTTCTTAGAAACATTTCTATGACCCATATTAAATTAAAATAGGAGGCATATATTTCATGCAACACATTAAAATATTAATATTAATTTTCAAAAAGTGAACCAAATGGGTTAGAAACATACATGATGCTTATACAAATACTATCTTCTGTCACCTATCATTGACAGCAGTAGTAACTTAATGATCAAATTCTAAATGATACCTGGGCACTGGCAGGTGATTTGCATCTCACTTAATGCATGCTCACTTAAATCTCTAGGGAACAGGTGGAAACTTTTTCTTTCTGTAGATATATATGGTCATGCTTATATGAGAAAAATAAAGAGAGCACTGTGGAAGCCTTAGTCTTTATTGCTCCCTTACTCCCTGATGTTTGTATGTTTCTGAGCAACACCCTGGAACTCACTGGGTCTCCTTTTCCTTATCATTAAATAATTTAATTTGGTAGATTTAAATTGGTGGTTCCTAACCATGAGTCCCTGAGGCAAAGAAGGCTGCAATTTTTAACATCTCAAAATTCTAGATGTAATCCTGCATATATCTTCAGTTAACCTGGAAGGACTAATGGCAAATGCCTTTGATGAAATAATAGCAAGTAACTCCATAAGTTGTGTTATGAAGCAAAGTGGCTGCAAATAAATGAATACACCGGTAAGTGGAAATTATATCAAGTAAATGAGCAATCTATCTGATTGGTAGACTATGTATACACATATACACAAGTGCACACACATATTTAATACATTTTAACTGTAACAATAAGTGCAGATTATTTACAAACATCTTTCAGAAATATGGGATATACTGTGGAAAAAGAAAGGGTCTTTGAAATAATATTGTGGACTAGCAGTTTCATAGGATTTTAGTATTTATTCTAGTTGAGAGTCAAATTTTTTATCTATGAAATTAAACATTTTAGTTTGGGTTTTGGTGGTTATATTTATTCACTTTCTTGGTTTGCTCTTTGATTTTTATATGAAATTTGCAAAACCTTTCTTCTGCCCATTGGGAATCTATCAGCATGTCAGAAGAAACTGGGGATGTGCTGCCTCCTAAACATACTTGAATACTAACTCCCACCTCTAACACTCCCAAACCTGCACAGCAGTCTTCAAAGCACGGTTTGAAAGCTGCCAGTTTTTATACCAGGCTCCAAGTTCTACAGTGTCTTCATTGGCACCCACAGTTCAAGATCATTCTGGCATTAAAGTTGAATTTTAAGATTCTATTTGTTCCTGTGACATTGCGAATTATGGGCAGAAACAATAATAAATGTTTCATTGGATGCTAACTATATGCCAGGCACATGTGTGGTATCTAATCATCACATTAACCCTGAAAGGTGGTCTTTTTTATATTTCAGAAAACTGAGAATCAAATAGGTTTAGTGAGCTGGCCTGGACTCCTTATTCACAATGTGTCAGAAATCATGGAGACATTCCGCAGTACCTGTCTGTGCTTCCACTGAAAAGTAGGGTTGTCCTTCGAGGATACTGTACACTAACTTGGCGCTATTTCCATAGGTGGGGTCATCTGCATCTGAGGCTGTCACCTGGATTACCGATGTTCCTTAAAAGTGGAATAAATTAATTAGCAACATCCCCTCAGCTTTTCAAATTGTATTCTCATTTACAAAGCCTCATTTTTAAATTAAATCCTGAGGAGAGCCCCACAATTATTCACCATTCTCTCATTTTCTTGGAGTTGAGATACAAAACAATCTTCCTTCCTTCCTTCCTTCTTTTTTAAATTCTCAGTTTAAAAATAAACTTTCTATATTCATAGTACATCCTGCTATACTTGGTAGTTAAAATAATAATATGAACATTATTGCAAAAACATTCTCAGACCCACGCAGTTGAAATGCTCAGTATATCAAATAATTAAATAAAAATCTTCCCAAAGAGTACAATGAATGATAATTGATGATGAACTGTTTTTTTATGAAAGGACAGAGTGCAATCTTCCATCTGTAGCAGAGCAATAAATACATTGTTTTATTGTTGATTTGCATGTAATAAAATTGCTGCTAATACTACATTTTAATTAATTTATGGCTATAAATATTGTGCAGAATGTTGTTTCCTACCGGCATTAAAATTTGCAACTTCCCACCCCTAACAGTCTGGTAGCCATATAACAGAAACCACTACCAGACATCAGTGAGATCTAAGGCAAACATTCATGGATCAGAATGAAGGGAAATCAGGAAATTTAAAAAAGATGGTGTTCTGGTTTTCCAAAAAAAAAAAAAAAAAAAAAACCTCTGTTTCTTACAGGTCACAAGTAACAAGTATCTGGGGCATGGCATGTCGGGTTTCAGAGTGGGGAGAAAGAGCTGGAAGGAAAAAAAATGGCAATTATTGAATTTCTCTGTGCCAGTTATTGTTTGGGGCACATTCCATGGATTCTGCCAGTATCCTTCTACTGGACATTTCTTACATCCACTGTACATGTGAGAAATTGGATGTGAAAGGCATGAAGTTTTGCAAAGTTCATTTCACAAAGTTGGTTATTGCCAGATTTAGGAGTCTAACCCCAATTTCAATCACGCAAGCAACAAAACCCCAGTTCTTTCCATGACATTTTCAGCAGAGGCGCAAGGTTCATACGTGGGAGGCAAGGGAGCCCGTTAACCCAGCCTCTGACTACCCTTCAATTTACAGGGTTGTCAGTGATCTTCACATGATGTAAAAGCAAAGCTCATTTTTTTCTAATTAGTGTCATTCTTAAACATCGACCAGCCCCCAAAGCTGAGAGCAATGAAAATCCCCCGGATTATACTTTCTAATGACTGACCTTCCCACCCCACTCCTCCACACCCACCACTCACTTGACACTGAGATCTGACTCACACTCAGATCTGACACTGCTGATCCCTATTTATAGGTTTATTTGATGTTTGTTGTGTCTCATTAAAATTTGCACAGGAATACTGAGAGACTAAAGGTCTGGGCAGAGGAAAGGGAAAAGAACAAAGTGGAAAATGGCTCAGCTTCTATTTAGAAAGTACCAGAAGAGCTTGACTTTACCTGGAGGAGGAGGAGGACAGTGTTTTCTAGCATAAAAGGCTCTATATGCACAGTAATAAAATCTTTGGGTACTAGAATCACGTCTAACTTTCCTGAGTAGATAGATTCCTACTTGGTGCTTGATTTTCTCATCTGTAAAAAGGGCAGTTTATCCCTGATATCCTTAAATTCATTTGAGCTCTAAACCTCTGACTTCTCTAACAAGATTCACTGCCTGATCAGAATAGTTCTGCTCACTGTCTGAAAGACAAAACTTTCTTAATACGAGGCATTTTTCTCAGAAAACCACAACTATGTGCACTCTACAAAGCCAAACAAAGTTATTGCCAGGAGAAGGTGGCTATTGGAAGAAATCCTTCAGAAAATTAGCCTTTAGCAATGCAGTGTATCTTCAAGCAGGTTGAAAAGACATACCTACTTCTCAATTAATAGATGGTGACATAATGTTTTGGTTAAATGTGCATTCTGGATCCACTTAATAGCTCAGATGACCCTATATAAATTAGTTAACCTGTTTCTAGCTTGGATTTAGAATTTGTAAAATATGGCAAATTGGACCTCCTTCATTGCAAAGATTAATGATTGCAGCAATTAAGTGAAATAGTTCACGTAAATCATTGATTAGCATGGTACCTACATGCAATGCATATTACTGTTTACTATTACTTATTGAACATCAATATGCCCTAGTGACTGGATGCATATATAATTCTATAAGACATTGTTATTCCCATTTTACAGAGAAGGAAACTGAGACTAAGAGAACAGATATAACTGCTTCCAAGTCATACAGCTGATAAGCACGAAGGCCCAAAATACCCAGATTCAATCATGTTCCTCCCACTTTTCCTCTCTTCCTCATATATTATAAGCTTAGATTTCAAAACCTCAAGTCTATTTTAAATATTTGAAGTTCAGCTGCACAAATGAAATCGTTTTCGTTAGTTATTTTGCCAGAGAAGATACAGCATAAGTTCTATGTTCTGATTTAGGAGAACAGGTATCAGCCCTCCCACCCGCAGAGATGCCAGGCCTGGAGATGGAGCAGGCCTCCCCCACTGTACGCACCCACATTGGACCTCTCAGGCACGTTGGCATGATAGGTCTCATGCAGGAACTCCGGAGGGTTGTCATTAATGTCCTGGACCTTGACGATGAATTCCGACGGCGGCTCCAGGGGCCGATTAGTGTCTCTGTCCACCGCTTGAGCCATTAGTGTGTACTGGGCTCTCTCCTCTCGGTCCAATGTCTTGGTGGCATGAATGTTCCCTGACTTGTCATCAATCACAAAAATGGTTCCGGCTCCTTCACCTGAGAGAATGTATTTAATGTTCCCATCACCAGAGTCAATATCGGAATGAAGCTAGGAAAAGAGAAATCGAGATTTGTAATTCCATGAGGGATGTCAAGGAGAGATTGAGACTCACAAGCTGATTATTATAATACACTTCTCTCTCTCACACACACACACACACAGAGGGAGATGTTCTCACCTCCACTTTACAACTGAAGAAATAGAATCTTAGAGAAGGTCATTGCCTTGGTCAAGGTCACGCAGCTGGGAAACAGTGAAGCCGGGGTTTAAACATCTTTTTTTTTTTTTTTTTTTTTACTTCTAAGATCCATGCTTTTCCTCCCCCACCTCCCCATATATGAGGGTGCTTCAAAAAGTTCATAGATTCATATTATCTTTCAATTCTATTTTTCTGCAAACTTTTTGAAGTATCCTGGTAAACACACACATAAAAAATACATACACGTATGCATGGGTGTTAATAGTTATTTTGAAATACATATATGATTTTTTTAAAAAATACAAGCAGAGATGTATGCAATAAGCAAGTCTTCCTTTCAGTTCTGACTCCCATTCCTTCGTTTTCCCCGCTCAGAGACCACCATCGTTACCAGTTCCTTGTGAAGTCTCTATGAGATATTCTATCCTATGCACACTCAAGAATCTCTATACTGATACATACGAGTCCTAGTTTATTCTTACACACTAAAATGCCATAGTGCACACATTACTCTTCACCTTGCCATTTTCCTATAACAATAAATTCAGGTGGCTCTTCCACATTTGTACAAATAAATCTACTTTATCCTGCAGATGTTGTAATCACTTCTTTTAGCAGTCCTCTTCCTAAGTAAAGGTAGGATGTTTCCAGGCTTTTGTAACTAAACAATTCAATTGTCAACTGATCAAACCTCTCCAGAAGAGCTGCTGTGTGGCATCCAGGGTGTGAGGATTGGAGATGTGACCTGCCTGGGGGAAGCACCCAATCTAACCATAAAGAATGAAGTGGGTGGGATGGGTTGATATATATGTAATCCCTTAGATCCTAGAAAGGACCTTAAGTATCCTTGAGTTTTTCCCTTTCTTGACAAGGCCTAGAGACGATATGGTATGGCCCAAATCCATATTTTTCAGAATCAAGAAATCATCCAAGTCTCTTAACTACCGTTCCTATATCTTTCTGCCCTGACTCTGCTCTGTTTGGTAACATAGAACTACCCAAAGATCACATCTGATTTTCCTGTAGCTATAAACTCATCCACCCTTATTCAACCTTAAATTCTGCAACTATCATTTTAATCTGAGTTCTACCATCATCATTATACTGTTTTGGGGAAAAGATAAGCACTATTTCTACTGTTTTCATGGGCTCCAAGAGTAACAAAGTAGAGAAAAAGCCTTACCTACTACATTAAAGAAAATCCATTATAAACTAAAATGCTTTATTCAAATGGCATTTAAAATAAAAATTATTATTAGTAGTAATGTCATTTAATATTAATAACATTGTTACTGAAAATTCCATTTTAATAGTATTATTATTAATGTAATTTTAATCGCTATTATGAAACCAAGGTCTAGAAAGCTTGCTCAGATTCACAACGCAAGATTGCATATATTGCTTTTTAAAGTTTCTGTATTGTTTCAATTTCCCAGAAGATATCTAATTGATTTGTAGTGCTTCAGTAAAACACCAAATATTTCAGCTCACAGGATATCTTCAGGTACAAATTACAAATATCATGTTGGTTTTAGTCCACAGTATTCCTCTAGGAAAAAAGAAAAGCATATTTTTCTTCAGAATGTGCTATTCATAACAAGCTATGTGTTGTCATGAATTTATGGCTAACACATTTCTTATGAATAAGGCAGTTTGTGAGTGAAATATGAAGTTATTTGATGGCCTACAATAGACAGAATTGTCCCAATTTCTGTATAAGTTTCCTCAATGAAGGCCACAAGGGCATTATTTGGCAAGTTTCTTGAGAATTAAACAGATATATTTTGTGACCATCCAAATAAATGAAAATTTTACAAAACATACTACTCATGGTTTTTTTTTTTATTTTTATTTTTTGATTTGAGAATTGGATATAAATTTCTTTTTTCTCTCACCACCAAAGATGATCTATACAGTAGACAATGATATTTACTAGGTTCCACACAAAAAAAAAAACTTTTTGGGAAGTCACTCAGTGCTATCAAGGGATCCAGCTACTGAAGTGTATTTACCAACTCTGAGGACCGATGACCTCCCTCTCTGCACAGGGCAGCATAACACAGACCGCATTCCCTAAAAGAAATCTGAAAGTCTATGGTTTACCAAATTCAACTTTTTCAAGGCATCTTAAAACATAAAACCTTGAAAATCAAATGAAATGTTGTTAGAAAAAAAGTCATCTATGTGTTTCTCCTATTTACAGGGAACTAGCTCTCAACACTATTTCAAAAGGAAGATTCACAGGATCCAAACACTTTCTTTTTGTTTTTTTCTCATCCAACCTAAAATCTGATTCACTCTCATGGGCTTTGCTTTTGAAGATCACATATTACAAATGATGCTAGGTTTCTCCTTCCTGCGCCACCCCCCCCACTTTTTCTTGTATTCCCCTTTAGTCAGCGTAACAACTGCTTGCTTCACAGAGATGCTACAACAGCTCTCCGGGTCCTATCTCTTATGTGACTTCCCACCCTGACACGCACACTGTTCCCCACTGAGAAGGTCCCCAAGGCAGAAGATTCCATTTTCTCAGAACGACTCCCACGCAGCTGTCCACGTTGTTCAAGCTACACAGCCCCTGCCATGGCTGAAGTCTTTTCTTCCTCTCTGGGCACACAGCCTGCCTCCTCTACTTAGGGAATTCTATGTGCCAACTATTTCCCTGTGTTTCCATTTCCCAAGTCTACTTCCACATCTTTCCATTTTGGGTATAAATGAATGAAATCCCTTTGGTACAACTTTTCGAGAAGACATGTTCCCAACCCGAAACAATGTTATTGAGACTGACATGAGCCTCCTTCAAGTATGTCAATTATGTAAATATGGAGTGCAGTTCTCATGTTAAGGAACAAGTAAGATAACTTTGTTGGAATCCATGGTGCTCAGAAATAAGCACTCCTCAAATCTACTCTTGCCCCTTTTCCCTTTTGCTGAATTAACCTTGCTCGTTTTTCAGGTCACAAAGTTATTAACATGGTCTCCATGAAACCTCCCTCATTTCTTCCAAGCATTGCCATGTAAATCTGTAATCACTTGCATTGAATTTCTTCATTATCCTAGCCCTCGTTTTAGTTTTTTTCATTTTTTTCTCTTTTTTCTTTTTTTTAATTGCATAAATAAGTGTCCCTTTTCCCCTATGCTCTGAACTCTTTGAAGCCAGGGACTGTGTTAATCTAATTTACATCTGCCTAGCACTGCACCTGCAAATAGTAGGGTTTCATTTCTTATGCATATAAACACCTATATCCTTGTAGCTAATGTCACTATTATCTTAAAGATTCTTACATGTTCTACCACAAATAACAGTGGAAAGTTAATTTTTCAAACAAATTTTGGACTGTCTTTCTACATTTTCACTTTTTTGGAGGCGATACACAGACAATTCAGAATTTAAGAAGTGCTAAGAACCTGAAGCCATCCCACTGGATTTTACCATCCCTAAGGCAAAGGAGAAAAAAAAAACAAAAAACACCCATCCTTATAACACACATTCATTCATCTCTTCAAAACCTGGCTTAGTACCAGGACTTGGGGACACAAAGAAAACACTGTTTCTGATGGAGACTAGCTTGGGGTCTAGTGAGAGTGACAGACAAAAAGTAGGTATAATACAAAAAAAAAAAAGTTATGATAAATATAGTATGGAGGGTTGTAAGAAGACAATGGAGAGACATCCAAGTTGGGGTTAGGGTGTGGTCAGGGAAATGCCCTCATTTGGACAATGGTTAAATAAATTATGGTCATTGTCATACAGTAGACTATTAAGCAGCCATTAAAAATGGAGTTTTATGGTGTAACATTCAGTAGTGGAAAACAGATGAGTCCTCCACGTGGACAAGTTTATGAATTGAAAAAAAAAAAAAGTCTGGAAGGATATATGCACAATGATTTGGGGTTTATACTGATGGTAGACCATTAGTGAGTTACCTCTTAGACTTTTATTTTTTTGGCCATATACCACTATTCCAGTGGTGGAGAGAGATGAATAGACATTGAATGAAAGCAGCCTTACCCTACCCACGAGCACGGGGTCAGGCCCGGTATATTCCTCTATCACGAAGAACTGGTTCCAGACCCAGCCCCTCTTGGAGCGCTGTAGCACCTGCCCCTCCTTGCCCTTCTCATGGTGCCCGTGGAAGGAGGGCCGCAGGTGGCTCCGCCGCTCCGTGGCAAAGGCCTGGCTGTGGCACAGCATGCCCAGGCACACCAGGGCGGCTTGTAAACAGTAGTTCTCCTTCATTTTTTGGTTACGTGGTAGGCACAGGAGAATGCAGCTGTCACCCCTTCTGCCAACCCTGTGGCGGTCTTCCCGATGGTGGATTTCCAGATGCGTCACACCGACCTCTTTTGGAAAGGAATGTCCCCACTGGCCGAGCACATCACGTCAGGGCTGCCCACTTCCCCAGTTGGCTTCTGCAAGAAGAGCGAGAGGTTAGACTAGTTGCAGGCTCCATCCCCACTTCAATTCCATTCATTCAACATGTAGGTTTGTGTGTCAGTTTCACCACTTGCCAGCTATGGGCTTTGGGTATGCTAACTACTTCTTTGAGCTCAGCTTGCTCTTTTATGAAATGGGGTAAACATTGTATTCACTGCAAGGTGGTCACCGGGATTAAATGGGTAATGCATGTAAGTCTCAGCACAATTCCTGGCTCATGGGAAGTATTCTATCTGTTATTTTAACTGATCACAATTGTACTTGGATATGCTTTTGTGAGAGGGAAACTTAGGGCATCATGGAATCTCAGAAGAGGAACATAAAATCCATAACAGGGATGGATGGCAGAGGGTGGGATGGTTAAGGGAAGCTTCCCAGAGGATGGATGGCTAGGCTCCATCCTGAAGAGAGACTTACTGTAATGAGAAAGGAGAGGGTGGGAAACCCTGCAGAAGGAACAGCATGTCCAGAAGCCCAGAGGTAGTCAAAAGCATAGCATGTCCTAAGATCCTTAGCGTGACTGGGGAGTATAACAAAGGAGGAAGGCAGGCAATGAACCCTGCTGGAGATGGGCAGTCAAGGCAGGTCCCAAGAAACCACTGACCGTCACAAGGACATTTACTAGAGAAATAATTGGTCAAGGTCTCTTTGGTGGATCATTTAAGGTTGTAGTGTCAATTCAACAAGAAAGATTTGTTCTTGTCTGGTCAGAGCTCCACCCAAGAAGCCACAGATCCTACCTTAGCCTGGTAGTGTCACAAACCATTCTTTACAAGCTCTCTGTAACCAGGAGAAGCAACATGAGATAAAACTGGCCCAAGGGTCTTGTTCCAGGCACCCATCATGACTCAGCTGTCCAACAAAGGAAAGGATGAGCCACTGACACCTTTTACTTTTGCACACTCCTTATAGGTTTCTCACCTGCGGTCACTCCTCTCCTCTTTCCACCAGTCTGGCTCTTGTGTCCAGTCCTTACCTCTTGCCTCAGGTTCTGGACTTCTTCTTTGGACTTAATCTTTCTGCTTACTTCTCCCCTTAAGAACTTCCCTTGCTTTATCCTCTCTCTTGGAACCCCACACTTTTTTCCAGAGAATCACCTTCTCCCCCTGCAGTGCCATCGAGACTCCAGCAAGAGATCTGGTTCCCAGAACCAGATGACCTCACCATTATCCCACCACCCATGAGAGGGAATCTCAGAAAACTGTTCTGCTTGGAGGACGGCACACTGATATTTAGGATGACATTTTGTTTCAGCACGGGTGGGTCTAAATGAAAGTAGTGAGCTTACTGAGCTTTGTAGAAATAGCTGTCGTCAACTAATTCTTCCCTATCTGGTTTGGATAAAGTGGTGCTGGGAAAAGGGGAGCAGAAGGGAGGAAGGAAACATGAATGTTAGCATAGCAGAAGGTACCTAGACTTGGAGATCGGACAGACATCAACCAAAATACCATTTCCATATTTAACAATCTGGGTGACCTTGGGCATGTCAATCAATCACTCTGAGCCTCTGCACCTACATAGGACTGACCACAGAGAGGGAAACTAGGTACATACTGGGACTCTTCCTCTTTTCTGAATGCCAGAATCCAAGCCTGCAGGTCTCACTCAGCAGAAGATGGTGCCCTCGCCCTGCAGATGGACATGACCAGAAGAGATGGTGAGGTGCTTTCTCCAACAGGGGAACTGAAGAACAACAGTTATAGCCTTACCAGACCAGAAAATAAGGGAATTGGTGGGAACTCTATTCCATTGGTGCAGACCCCTTTCCTTCTGATGATCTTTGACTTTGCCAACCCAAGCCTTTCTGTTTTCTTTGTAATATGGCAAAAATTATATCTTGGGAGAGTTAATTTCAGGTATCTGTCACTGTCCTTAATAACACCTGTTGATGGTATTATGTTAAAATCTTTTCAAGGAATAGGGAGTTCCAGTTTTTAACTTTGGTAGTAGACAGGTATGTAGACATGTAAATGGTATAAAGGGCTGTATACAAGAGAGAGAACGATTTAAAATGCAGGGTCACCACGAAGCTTCACCCTCACACTTGGGCACTACATACAATGTTGTTTATAGCAAGAGAAACTGTGTGGGAAGAGCAAAAAGAGGGACTCAGGAAGGGATGGATCCTAAAATGAAGAATAGGAAGCAACAGGAAGATTTCTGAGCTTAAGTCAAGAAGCTCAACATGTGGTCAAGAATCTGCCACTAACATCATGCAACTTCATCACTTCTCCTCTTGGAGGCACTGCCTCACTCTATGTAAGATGAAGTAACTGGTGAAATTTTCTACAAGTGGCTTCCAGCTTCATATTCGTGGTTAGAGTTCTGGTGACAGATTGTGGGGCATTTCTTCTGATCCATATACTGGCTTCTTACTAGACTGGAAGCTTCGTAATGGTTGGGATTATATCTTATTCACAATTACATGTCCAGTACCTGAGCTCAAAACAGGCTGTCAATAAAATTTGAATGTATGATTTGAACCACATACTTCAACTCCAAACATAACATCACCTCTCTAGCAACTCAAAAAGAAGAAAGACAAAGGAAAGAGCATATGGTGCAGCAAGATCCCTGCCCATTTTGCACTAGGCCAAGTATTAAGTGTTCATTCACATGGTGATAAATTATTCTTGCCTATAAACTGTGAAGTGTATTTGAAAGAAAGGGTTTAATTAAAGTTGATATTTCTACACCTCTTTCTTCTGGCTGCCATTTTACTGTAAAGCACAATTATTTCTGACACTAGAAGTGTTGAAACTAGATGACAACTTTTTTTTTCTTTTATAAAATATTCTAGCTTGATACTAATGAATTTAAGAGTTTCCATGTGAACAATAAACAATAAACTTCTCCCTTTGTTAAAAAGATGAAATTATCTATTTTCTTCCACTGGAAAAAAACAGCCAAACCAACTGGCTTGTAAAGTAATTAATCGAACCCATTATTTTTAAGTGCTTATAAGACCATATATAACATAAATATTTATTTTTAATGATTAATATTAGATATGTGAAGAATGAATATTAAAACTTTTTTCTTATTTACTCACTTTGAGAATGAAAATTTATTTACCAAGTGCTTTTTCTAGCTACTGTCCAAAAACTTCACAAATTGGAACTCATATATTAATCTCTATAACCTCCTTATGAATGGGTAACATGAATATTCATATTTTAAAGGGTGAGAAAACCAAGGCCCAGAATGAATTAAGTGACTTGTGCAAGCTGAAGCTTCTGGTACATAGGAGAGCTGGGATTTGAACCCATTCCATCTGGGTCTAGAGTCTGTGTTCGTAACCAGCAAACAATTTCAACTCTTGCTATTTGTTTGTGTTTGAAGTTTATAAGGAAATGATATGGACACTGTGATAAAAATGGTAACCTAGAAGCCACTTGAAGGTGATAAGTTAACCAACAGTGGAACTTGGCACATGCTAATAACATGAGATATCATGAAAATATTAGTAATAGCTAACATTTGTCAGGTGTTTCTGCCTAACATTCTTTCCATGAGTTGAGTCATCAAATTTTCATGATAACTCTACAAAGGAGTATTATTGTTATTCCCACTTTACAGGTAGGTAGACTGAGGCATACCAAGATTAAGTAACTTGCCCAAAGTTACAGAGCCAGCAAGTGAAGGAGCTGGGGTTGAACCCACAGGTTTGGTTCCAGGATCTGCATTCCTATCCCCTACAGGTCTCCCTGATATTGCCACTCTAAGAGAAGGCTGCAGATCCAGCATAGACACTCATGCCCATATACACGCAATAGCTTTATGATGATGATAATTTAACTTTTAGTGATACTGGGGTTGGGTGGGGGGAGTAGACTGTGAGAAAAAATATTAACCAAACAAGAAAGAAAAAGAGAAAGCATTTCATAGCAATGACCAAAGTGAAGAGAAACAAGAAGCAATCACATCTGTCCACCAACAATACAGTGCAACTGGGTCCTTAAATAACATACTACACTCAGGTTAATATCTGCTTTTTATTTTTAAACCTTACTTCAGAATTTTAAATATATAGGTTTTAAAAAATGTATTAAGGGAGAATCTCTCTCTCTCTCTCTCTCTCTCTCTCTCTCTCTTCCTCCCTCCCTCGTTCTCTTTGAAATGCTTCTAGAATCTAGAGAATTGATTGATGTATTCAGTGGTAGAGACTTTGCAGGAATCTCACATGAAAATTAATAGGGGACCGCCCTCCTAAGAAGACCTTGATGTTGGTAATAATTAGGGAAATATATCAATGTTCTAATTGGCTTTAATAAAGACCGCCCCAAGGCAGTTCTGAACAATCCTCCCATTAAAGCACTTTCTTGCAGTATGCTAAGATGCCTAAGCATTGGGGTTCCACTAAAAACATATAGGAGGACTTTATTTCATGATGGGAGCATATTGCTTGGAGGGAAGAATAAATGTTGCTGAAGTCACAAGAGTAAGAACATGACAGGAAAATGGATTTGCAAAACCACCGGCTCTAAGTGGAAGTCTCAGCCCTCTACCTTGAGAGCAGATAGCCCTTCATAAGCTACTGTGCCTTGAGCATAAAACTCTCTTGCTGTGTGCCTGCTTTTGTCTCCATAAGAAAAAATGAGATATACAGGTGTTTAAGTATATGTGGACTCCTGCTGGAAATTGTTATTGGGTAGAGAAAGAAACACGAAAGCATTTAGCAGAAAGCAAACAGATTTAGTTTTTCAGCTTTCTCCTCCCCACAGAGCTGGAAGGATCCGACAGGCTGACCTGTTCCTTTCATTTCCAGGTAGCTAATTTACAGTGAAAGACAAGTTATCATTACATTGACAATCTCACCGAGGTCTAAACCAGAACTCAAAACCCCATTCTGTATCTGCAGCATCCCCTTGTTGGTGAGCTCAGGGGCTCTGGTCTGCCCTTCAACAAACAGAGCTTTGTAACCAATCGGATTCTATTATGCAAATTAATTCAAGCATATTTTATTTCCTGTTCG